ATACCAAACCTCTTGACTACTGAAATTACATATCAAACGTCTGTATACTTACATTACATACCAAATGTCAGTCAACTGACATTATATACCAAATTTCTATCATTGACATTACATAACAAATATCTGTCTACTGACATTACATACCAAAGGTATGTCTACTGACATTAAAATCCAAACGTCTGTCTACTGACATTACATGCCAAACATCTGTCAACTGACATAACATACGAAACGTCTGTCTACTGACATTGCATGCCAAACGTCTGTCAACTGATATTACATACTAAACGTCTTTCTAAAAACATAACATATCAAAACTCCTGATATTACATACCAAACATCTGTCTAATAAAATAACATAGCAAACGTCTGTCTAATGATGTTACACACCAAACGTCTGTCTACTAGCATAACATACCAAACCTCACTCTGCTGACATTACATACCAAACATTAGACTACTAACATAACATACCAAATATCTGTCTACTTAAATTACATACCAAACATTTGCTTACTGACATTACATGCCAAAAGTCTATCTGCTGACATTACATATCAAACGTCTATCGACCGATATCACATATGAAAAGTTGGTCAACTGACATTACATACCAAACGTCTGTCTATTGATATTACATACCCAACATTTGTTTACTGACATTACATAGAAAATGGCTGTCAACTGACACTACATACCAAACCTCTTTCTACTTTAATTACATATCAAACGTCTGCCTACTTACATTACATACCAAGTGTCAGTAAACTGACAATACATACCAAACGTCTGTCTACTGACATTACTTCTCGAACGTTTGTCTACTGATATTACATACCAAAGATATGTCTACTGACATTAAAAACCAAACATCAGTCTACTGACATTACATACCAAACATTTGTTTACTGCCATTACAAACGTCTGTCTGATGACATAACATGCCAAACGTCTGTCTACTGACATTACATAACAAATGTCTGTCAACTGACATTACATACCAAACCTCTTTCTACTGAAATTACATATTAAACGTCTGTCTACTGACATTACTTCTCGAACGTTTGTCTACTGACATTACATCCCAAACGTCTGTCTCAAAAGATAACATATCAAAACTCCTGATATTACATCCCAAACATCTGTCTAATAAAATAATATAGCAAACGTCTGTCTAATGATGTTACTCACCAAACGTCTGTCTACTAGCATAACATACAAAATCTCACTCTGCTGACATTACATATCAAATGGCTGTCTGTTGTCATTAAAAATTAAACGTTTGTCTACAGACATTACATACCAAACGTCTGTCTACTGACACTACATACCAAAAGTCTGTCAATTGACTTTACATACCAAACATTTCACTACTGACTTTACATACCAAACATTTCACTACTGACTTTACATACCAAACATTTCACTACTGACTTTACATACCAAATGTCTGTCCACTGACACTACATACCAAACGTCTGTCTACTGACATTACATAACAAATGTCTCCCTACTGGCATTACATACAAAACGTCTTTCTAAAAAACATTAGATATCAAAACTCTGTCTAATAAAATAACATAGCAAATGTCTCTCTTATGATGTTACATACCAAACGTCTGTCTACTAGCATAACATACCAAATCTCACTCTGCTGACATTACGTATCAAATGTCTGTCTGTTGTCATTACATACTAAACGTCTGTCTATTGACATTACATACCAAATAGTCTGTCTAATGATATTACATGCCAAGCGTCTGTCTACTGACATTATATGCCAAACGTCTGTCAACTGACATAACATACCAAAGGTCTGTCTACTGACATTACAAACCAAACGTTTGTTTACTAACATTACATACTAAACATCTGTTTGCTGACATTATGTTCCAAACGTCTGTCTTCTGACATTATATTCCAAACATCTGTCTACTGACATTACATGTCAAAAGTCTGTCTAAAAACATTACATACCAAAGGTCTATTTACTGACATTACATACCAAACGTCTGTCTACTGTCTTAACATACCAAACGTCGGTCTACTGACATTACATACCAATCTTCTGTCTAATGACATTACAATTAAAACGTTTGTCTACTAGCATTACATACCAAACGTCAGTCTACTAACCTTACATACCTAACGTTTCCCTACTGGCATTACATACCAAACGTCTGTCTACTGACATTACATCGCAAAATTCTGTCAACTGAGATTAATTAACAAACGTCTATCTACTGACATTACATACTAAACATTTGACTACTGACATAATATACCAAGCGTCTGTCTACTGACATAACATGCCAAGCGTCTGTCTACTGACAATACAGGTCTAAAGTCTGTCTAAAACATAACATAACAAAGGTGTGTCTACTGACATTACAAACCGAACGTTTGTATACGTATGTTACATACCAAACATCAGTCTATTAACCTTATATACCTAACGTCTCTCTACTGCCATTACATACCAAACGTCTGTCTACTGACATTACATACCAAACATCTGTCTTCTGACATTATATTCCAAATGTCTGTCTGCTGACATAACATGCCAAACATGTATCTACTGACAATACATACAAAACATCTGTCTTCTGTCATTATATTCCAAATGTCTGTGTACTGACATAATATGCCAAAAGTCTGTTTAAAAACATTACATACCAAAGGTCTGTCTACTGACATTAAAAACCAAAGGTCTATCTACTGACATTACATACCATATATCTTTCTACTGTCAATACATACGAAACGTCTGTCTACTGACATAATATGCCAAACGTCTGTCAACTGACATTACATACCAAACGTCTGTCTATTGACATTACATACCAAACGTCTTTCTACTGACATTACATACCAAACGTCTGTCTACTGACATTACATCTCAAACGTCTATCTACTGATATTACATATCGAATGTCGGTCTACTGACTTTTCATATCAAATGTCTGTCTCATGATATGACATACCAACGGTCTGTCTACTGATATTACATACCAATCTTCTCTCTACTGACATTGCAAGTAAATCGTTTGTCTACTAATGATTACAAACTGTAAATATGTCTACTGAAAATACATACCAAACTTCTGTCTTCTGACATTACATGACAAAAGTCTGTCTGCTGACATTTCATGTCAAAAGTCTGTATGCTGACATTAAATACCAAACGTCTGTATTCTGATATTACATACCAACAGTCTGTCTACTGACATTACATACCAAACATCTTTCTGCCAACATTAGATGCCAAACGTCTGTCTACTGAAATTACATGCCAAAATTATGTCTAAAAACATTACATACAAAATGTCTGTCTGCTTACATTACATATCAAACGTCAGTTTACTAACAATACATACCAAACGTCTGTCTACTGACATTACATACCAAAAGTATGTCTAGTAATATCACATACCAAACGTCTGTCTGCTGACAATGCATACCAAATGTCTGTCTGCTGACATTACATATCAAACATCTTTATACTGATGTTACATATCAAACGTCTCTCTACTGACGTTACATGCCAAACGTCTATCCACTGACATAACATGCAAAACGTTTGTCTACTGACATTACATACCAATTATCTGTCAACTGACATTACATATCAAAAGTCTGTCTACTAAAAAAACATACCAAACGTCTGATTACTGACATTACTCACCAAAACGTCTGTATACTGTCATTACATAACAAACGTTTTTCTACTGACATCACATACCAAACATTTGTCTACTAACATAATATACCAAACGTCTGTCTACTGACATCACATGCCAAACGTCTGTCTAATGATATTAAATCCCAAACATCTGTCTGCTGACATCACATATCAAACGTCTGTTTACTAATGTTACATACCAAACATTTGACTACTGACATTACATACCATACGTCTGTATAATGACATTACTTAACAAATGTCTGTCTACTGACATTATATACCAAATTTCTATCATTGACATTACATAACAAATATCTGTCTACTGACATTACATACCAAACGTCTGTCTACTGACATTACATACCAGTCAACTGACACAAAATACCAAATGTCTGTCTACTGACATTACATATTAATCGTCTGTCTACTGACATTACATACCAAACGTCTGTCTACTGATATTACATACCAAACTTCTTTACACTGACATTACATACCAAATGTCTGTCTGCTTACATTATAAATAAAACGTTTGTCTACTGACATTATATGGCAAACGTCTGTCTACTGACATTACATACCAGTCAACTGACACAAAATACCAAACGTCTGTCTACTGACATTACATACTAAACGTTTGTCTACTGACATTACATACCAAACGTCTGTCTACTGATACTACATACCAAACTTCTTTACACTAACATTACATACCAAATGTCTGTCTGCCTACATTACATACCAAACGTCTGTCTACTGAAATTACATATCAAACATCTTCTTCTAATTACATTACATACCAAACGTCTGTCCAATGACAATACATACCAAACATCTGTCAGCTGACATTACAAGCCAAACGTCTGTCTTAAAAATTACATACCAAACATCTGTCTAATGACATTAGATACCAAACGTCTGTCTACTGACAATACATACCAAACATCTGTCAGCTGACATGATATGCCAAACGTCTGTCTAAAACATTAGATACCAAACGTCGTTCTCCTGACACTACATACCAAATGTATGTCTACTGACACTATATATCAAACGTCGGTCTACTGACATTACATATAAAGCGTCTGTCGCTGGCATTTCATGTCAAACGTCTGTCTACTGACATTAAATACCAAAAGTTTCTCTACTGACATTACATACCAAACGTCTATCTACTGACATTACTTATCAAACGTATGTCTACTGACATTACATACCAAACGTCTGTTTCCTGTTTAAACAATTTACGTTTTTTTTTATTATGATATAAGAAAACGTTAGTTTTTCAACACCACATAATGAACTTTATACGCACCTGTCCAACTCTGACAAATTCGACTCTGCGTGCGTCCTCCTTATGGCGGGAACTATGGGATTCTTGTAGAACGTCACTGAATGCTCTGCGGTATAACTAAAAGATATTGATGGCATTAAGGTCTTCCTATTTCAACAAGAGTGTTGAGATATGTATATATATAAGCATTGATACACTTAATGAAATATCTTGCTATTATTCAACAGTTAGGGGTAGTTGATGTACCGTTGTGAAATACTCCATTAACAAATATAGGAAGACATAACACGTTTCTCAATAAGACTACAACATCAACCGTATACATGCACGGAAATAAGACAAAACACTGTTGACAATTCCAATGTGACTAGTACAACTTCCTGTTGTCAGTAACAGACAAATACGATCACAGGATAAACCTCCGACATTGTCTTATCCTAGACAGACAGACATAACAACGATAGAAATAAAGAGAAACATTGAGAAGCGATCACTTCTTTCAAAAACTTTATGTTATGCACGATAATATATATATATAAATAAATATATATATAATTAGGAGAATTTTGGGAGAAAAAAAAGGTTCACATTTATCTATGATGGACAGATGTCATAACAAAATCCAGGGAGCGGGAAATCTCCATCAGTTTACATGTTATCCATAACAAACACTATATATATATCCACGGAGAGATCTGGGGGCCAGAAATCTCCATCAGTTTACATGTTGTTATCCTAGAAAGACGGTATTGTTATCCACGGAGAGATCTGGAGGCCAGAAATCTCCATTAGTTTACATGTTGTTATCCTAGAAAGACGGTATTGTTATCCACGGAGAGATCTGGAGGCCAGAAATCTACAGCAGTTTACATGTTGTTCTCCATGACAGACAGTATATATATATATCTATATATATATATCAACGTAGAGATCTGGGGGCCGGAAATCTCCATCAGTTTACATGTTGTTATCTATGACAGACGGTATATACTCAAGAAAACATGTTTCTTTGGCGAATACCTGTAAATGAGTGAAAACAAAATGACGTTTGTGCAATATTAGAAAATGGTAATATTTACATTTCAAAATCCAAGGGCGTTACCAAAATTATTCAAGCGTGAAAGTCTGTATTAGCGAAAGAGCTAATTCGTAACCGCAGTAGAGACTACAAGGACATTGCTTGGCCGTCGTGTGTCTCCCCAAACAGTCCGCAACAGGTTGAGGGCCTACCAATTGAAAGCGCGGCATCCCTACACTGGACCCAATTTGTTGCAACGTCACCGTAATAATCGGCGTAACTGGACCTGTGTTCACCGTCGTTGGACCTTACGACAATGGAACAATGTTAAGGTTCCAATTTCCATTTAACCGGCATTCGATATCGGGACGAAATTTTAAGACCCGTGGTTCTGCCATTCTTAAGACGCCATGGCGTTGGCGCCATTTTTCAACAGGATAACTCACCAGCGCACACCAGTCGCGTCAGCAGAACTTTCTTGCAGCAGAATAACGTACAGGTGTTAGATTGGCCATCTAAATCACCTGATTTGTCACCGATTGAGCATGTCTGGGACGTTCTTTGGCGACGTGTGAGAGAACGTCAAAATCAGCCGTCAAACTCGCAGGAGTTGGCCCAAGCCTTGATCGCTGAATGGAACAACATCTCTCCTCGAATTATCCGCCGGTTTACGAGTTCCATGCGACGACGCTGCAATGCTGTTTACTTCGCAAACGGTGGCCATACCCGTTACTAATGGTGTTACCTTTGAAATTGACCCCAACGTCCTTTACAGTCGAATAAAATCAACTGAACGCAAAGTTTTATAATGAACCATGACTGCAGTTTTATCAGAATTGATCAATTCTTTTATTCGTACATAATTGGTAAGGATTTATGACAGACGGTATATACTCAACAAAAAAAGAAAGGTTAACATGTTTTCTTGGTGAATACCTGTAAATGAATGAAAACAAATTGACGTTTGGCAATATTGGAAAATGGTAATGTTTTACATTACAAAATCCAAGGGCGTTACCAAAATTATTCAAGCGTGAAAGTCTGTATTAGCGAAAGAGCTGCACGAGGTTTTCTGCGACTAACTTGTATCTTCGCTTGAATTTCATAAACATTCAAACTGACAACTGTTCCTTAGATCCTTAGGACTTAGGAATCACCGAATCTTGCTATCTATCAACGTTATCATTATGCCCCGGCTGTCACAAATACAGAGAGAAAGGGCTGTAGGCATGATCCAGGCTGGGGAGTCTCGCCGTCGAGTTGCACGGCATTTTGTTGCAGTGTTAAGACAATTTGCCAGTTGGTAAGTCGTTTAAACCAAACTGGGTGAACATCCGATCGTCCCCGAAGCCGCCGACCCAGTAAAACGACCGCCAGGGATGACCGTCGTATACGATTGATACACTTGCGCAATCGATTCGTAACCGCAGTAGAGACTACAAGGACATTGTTTGGCCGTCGTGTGTCTCCCCAAACAGTCCGCAACAGGTTGAGGGCCTACCAATTGAAAGCGCGGCATCCCTACACTGGACCCAATTTGTTGCGACGTCACCGTAATAATCGGAGTAACTGGACCTGTGTTCACTGTCGTTGGGCGTTACGACAATGGAACAATGTTCTGTTTTCAGATGAGTCCAGGTTTTGTCTTCAACACGGTGACGGAAGGCGCAGAGTGTGGAGGCGACGAGGGGAGCGTTTTGCGAACTGCTGCGTCGCAGAACGGGACTACTTTGGAAGTATAATCGTACCAGGCTTGTTGTGTTAAATGGCAATTTAACCGGCATTCGATATCGGGACGAAATTTTAAGACCTGTGGTTCTGCCATTCTTAGGACGCCATGGAGTTGGCGCCATTTTTCAACAGGATAACTCACCAGCGCACACCAGTCGCGTCAGCAGAACTTTCTTGCAACAGAATAACGTACAGGTGGTAGATTGGCCATCTAAATCACCTGATTTGTCACCGATTGAGCATGTCTGGGACGCTCTTTGGCGACGTGTGAGAGAACGTCAAAATCAGCCGTCAAACTTGCAGGAGTTGGCCCAAGCCTTGATCGCTGAATGGAACAACATCTCTCCTCGAATTATCCGCCGGTTTACGAGTTCCATGCGACGACGCTGCAATGCTGTTTACTTCGCAAACGGTGGCCATACCCGTTACTAATGGTGTTACCTTTGAAATTGACCCCAACGTCCTTTACAGTCGAATAAAATCAACTGAACGCAAAGTTTTATAATGAACCATGACTGCAGTTTTATCAGAAATGATCAATTCTTTTATTCGTACATGATTGGTAAGGATTTATGAAGAGGTTAATTAATTGATCACAGAATAAAGTAGTGTTACCTTTCTTTTTTTGTTTAGTATATATATATCAACATAGAGATCTGTGGGGCCGGAAATCTCCATTAGTTTTACAAGTTGTTATCTATGACAGACAGTATGTATATCCACGGAGAGATCTGGTGTCCGGAAATCTCCATCAGTTTTACAAGTTGTTATCTATGACAGACGGTAGATATATCCACGGAGAGATCTGGGGGCCGCGAATCTCCATGTTTTGATCAATTACTGAGAATATATATATCCACGGAGAGATCTGGGGGTCGGAAATCTCCATCAGTTTAAATCTTGTTACCCATGACAGACGGTATATGTATCAACGGAGAGATCTGGGGACCGGGAATTTCCATCAGTTTTACAAGTTGTTATCTGTGACAAACGGTATATATATATCCACGGAGAGATCTGGGGGCCAGAAATCTCCAGCAGTTGACAAGTTGTTATCCATGACAGACGATATATATATCCACCGAGAGATCTGCAGGCCGGAAATATCCATCAGTTTTACAAGTTATCTATGACAGACAATATATATATCAACGGAGAGATCTGGGGGCCGAAATTTCCAGCAGTTGTCATGATGTTATGCATGACAGACGGTATATATATCTACGGAGAGTTCTTGGGTCCGGAAATCACCATCAGTTAACATATTGTTATCCTTGACAAACGTTATATATATCCCCGGACAGATCCGGGGGCCGGGAATCTCCATCAGTTTACATGTTGTTTCTCATGAATACAGTATATATATCCACGGAGTGATCTGGTGGCCGGGAATCTCCATCACTTTACATATTGTTCTTCATGAATACAGTATATATATCCATGGAGAGATCCGGGGGCTGGGAATCTCCATTAGTTTTACAAGTTGTTATCTATGACAGACGGTAACTTAACCTACGGAAAGATCTGGGGGCTGGAAATCTCCAGCAGTTTAAATGTTGTTATCTATGACAGACGGTAACTTAACCCACGGAGAGATCTGGCGGCTGGAAATATCCAGCAGTTTACAAGTTGTTATCTATGACAGACGGTATATGTATATCCATGGAGAGATCTGGGGGCCAGAAATCTCCAGCAGCTGACAAGTTCATTTATTCATATATTTATTCCTCCATAAAAGAAGAGTTACAGACATTGTATGAAATATTACATAATCATGGAAATAACATAGTTAATTTTCAATGAAACTAAAAAGAAAAATATAGATAAGGAAAACGAGAAAACTAGGAGAAGGACTCAAATTGCTACATAGAGGAATTTGAGGTTTATCTTAACAAAATGTAAGAAGACATGCCTTTTCGGCAAAAATGCAACAGTCTTTTGAAAATGTAGCCAAGAGCAAATCATTCTTCTGGAATAAATCAGAAATAACGACGGGAGGGCTACCTAAGATAGTAGCAATTTGAATCTGTCTACACGAAATCACAAGTGTTGCATAAACATTAACCGGATAGTAATTTTTTATTTTAGTTAAAAAGAGGTCATGAAGATTTAAAAGCGTGACACTGGAACAGTCTAAAATACAATGACCAACTGCATCCTCAACTAAGAGCTGATACTGAGCACATGATAATTCGCAATTAGGCGGAATGCTCCATAGCTTTGCAACTGTTTTACATGTTTTGTTTAACTGTGGGAAACATTTTGAGAGGTACCAAAGTGGAGATGGGCTTATCTCTCGCTGTAAATGTTTAAATCTACTAAAATCCTCACAGCTATTAAGGCGTTCACTCCACCCAGAAGAATATAT